GAGAAGCTGTGGCTGCCCCATCCCTGGAGGTGTTCAAGGCCAGGTTGGACGGGGCTTGGAGCAACCTGGGCTGGGGGGAGGTGGCCCTGCCCAGGGCAGGGGGTGGCACTGGGTGGTCTTCAAGGTCCCTTCCATCCCAACCCATTCTGTGAAAACACTGAGGGGTTGGGTGCTGCTCACCCCCGCTGGCCCCAGCCGGCTGCTGGTGGGGAGAAACACGCTGGAAAAGCAGGAGCTTTAAAATACCCAGGCCCATGGCACCTCTGTCCCGAGCAGTTACAGCCTCCCTGGTCCCTATCTGTCCCGCAGCCCCCGCTGCCAAGGAGCGCAGGGAATGGCTGCTTTGGATCTCCCCTCTCCTACCATACCCCTTCAGTCCGGGCACCGCAGAGCCACGCAGCCCACGGGGTCCGGCAGCGCTGCCCGTGCCCGAGGCGGCAGGGACGGTCACCGGTCAGCAACAGAGAGAGCCACAACCCCACCAGCCCCCCGGCTCAGCGCGCTGGCCGGGCTCCTGCCCCAGAGGTTTCAAAGGAACCGTTTCAGGAAACGCTTCCATCCGCCGGCTCTGACGCACGGCCGGCAGCGCGGTGGGCAGCAGCTCCCGCGCCGGGGGTGCTCGGCTGCCTCTCGATTCCCACCCGCCTGCCCGAAAACCAGTGCCAGGTGTCACCCCGAGCACAGGGCCAGTTTGGCAAGGCAAAGAAACGGCTCAGCACGAGGCCCCCGGCCCTCGTTAGCAGCACTCTCACGGGGCAAAGCCAGTGCAGCAGCTGCTCCTCATCCCGCAATACTCGAAATGGCCAATTTTTAAACATCCTCTCTGCAACGCAACCATTAAGTCAAGGGCCTGGAGCTCTTTGCTGTGCTAACCCAAGACTACTTTCCTCTTAACGATCAGAGGACAGCGATCGGGCTCGGTGGCCAGATGCCGTGCAAGAAGCAAAAGGGAATGAAGCCGCCCCAGCTGTTCCGCTGCCGACAGACGGCACAGCAGATTGCAGCGGAAGATTCCCGACGACAGCCGGCAAAAGCATCGATTTTGTGCTTTGCTGCTGTGCCAAAACTCCCTCCTGTCCCTCTCAGGCTTTCCCTTCAACTTCTGCGTGTTTCCTGATAGAGCAGACAACCCCTTCCCAAAACACGCAGCTCAGAGACAGCAGGATCTCCCTCAGGGAGCGGAGCAGGCTGGAGCTGTCTCGCTGCCCCTTCTGGCAGTCCGAGGCTTCCTCGCCTCCTGAGCGCCGCAAAGCGAACCTGCATCGGGGCTGCTGAGCGCGCAGAGAGGAGACAGCCAGAGCAGCATCTAAGAGAGGGACCCTCTTGGCTCACCGTGCCGGAGGAGCACACAACCATCTTTTCTCCTGCCTTCTCCCACCACCTCATCCCTCACCTACAGTGCCTCTCTGTGCTGCACTCCAGAACCAAAGCGGCTTGTCCCTAACCCAGGGAGGCAGTGCCTTACTCTGTGCCCCCTTCAGCATGGTGTCATCGAGGCACGAGGTCTCCTGGATGGCTGTAGCTCAGGTTTTCCAGCGAGGTTTCACATCTCCGCTGCCATTAGCCAACAGGCAACGGATAGTACTTCAGTGCAGAGCAGTTCCGCTCCCCCAGTCCCCACAAGGAGGACAGCAGAAGCAAGGAACACGCAGCCCTCCTGCTGCTGAAGCACCTCCTTAGCTGCCAGAGCTGGTAGCCAGATGGCAACCCATGCCCGGCCACCCCCAGGCGAGCAGCCAGGTCCTCCTCTGGGCTCCACTGCATGTCCCAGCCAAGGGCCGCAGAGGAGCCCCGCGATGGCAGAGCTACCCTGGGACTCCTCTGCCGTCAGAGCGGAACAAGAAGCTGTGACGATGGTGACTTCGCCGTGCCCAGCTCCTGGGGGTGCCCTGCTAACCCTGCCACGGCTCTGCTCACCCTTTCACAGTGAAGTGTAACACATCTACCTCTAGCGACCTTCTAAGACCTCGACAAGTCGCTATTTCGCAGGAGTGCCTGAAGCAACAGCCTGTTCAACCCCACCAGTGCAGGAACCGGCCCTCGGCACGGAGCTAACGAGGGGTAACGGGTCACCCAACCCCAAACCCGCACACCAGGAACCACAAACAAGGCAACCAAGCCGTAAGGTGGACTCTGGCCACTGACACACAGCACTTGGATGAGCCTTGGAGGCTCCTTTATTTTCCCAGTCCCAGCGACGTGCGTGTAGGTAACAGCAGCAGGTTCGGCAACACACAGCGCAATCGGACGCGGGTATCCATCACTCAGGTCTAAGCGGGCGTCACCGCCGATGCCCCCAGCCAGCCGCCGAGCGGGGACACGCCGTCTGCGCGAGCAGAAAGCGAAGAGCCGCCGAGGCGCTGCAGAGCCTCTTTGGTCCCGTGAGCCACAGGGGCTCCCGCTCGCCTTTTCTGTCAAGAGCGTAGACAAACTGAGCAGCAGGAGCGAGGAGGCGAAACGAGGTCCTCCGACGGGAGGGAGCGGAGGAAGCAGAAGGCAGAGGAGGAGGCAGGAGGTGTAGCGCACTCATACCACCACCATCACCAGGGACGCTGCGGGAGGCCGGCGGGCGGGCGGGCAGCGGGGAAGGCAGCGCTGTGCTGCACAGCCCGCGGTCAGGCACGCCTGGAGCGACGAGGATCTCCCAGGTCCAGCTACAGTTATAAAACCCTCCTGACCGTACCTGTAGGAGGATTATGAGTTTTGCAGCACTTGTTCTATTCCAGTTAGTCTGAGAACACGCAGGCTCTGCTAATGAAGGTAAGGCGTTACATCATGGCAGGGGATCATTTCTATAGATTAGGAGGTATAAATAAAGCCCGAGTTCGACCAGGGCAAGTGTAGGCACAGAACTCCAGGCAGACGCAGTGTCTGCCTGACGCCTCGGAAAGCCAGTACTGCCCATAGCCTGCTCTCTGTGTAGCTTAGAGCCAGAAGAGGTTTTACTTTAGGTGAAGGCACTTCAGGAGAGTCTGCCTGTGGTGGCAGAGCACCATATATAGTCCTAGAGTCAATGTAAACCAAGTACCCCAACACAGCT